TATGGATAATGCACATCCATTGTCATCGCCTATGGTTGTTCGATCACTTGAAAAATGGTCATTTTCATTCACTTGAAAATGGAGAAAAAGTTCTCATCATGAAGTACCATATTTTAATACAATTGGAGCATTAACTTATCTTACAACTGTACTCAACCCGACATAGTTTGTTCTATAAATTTCCTTACAAGATATAACTCTACATCAACACAGAGACATTGAAATGGTGTTAAACATATTTTTCATTACCTAAAAGATACTATTGATTTGAGATTATTTTATTCTTAAAAGTCGATATCTGTTTTAGGGGGATATACAGGTGCAGGTTATTTCTCTGACTCACATAAAGTTAAATCACAAACATGATATGTGTTTACACGTGGAGGAACATCTATATCATGGAATCTGTGAAGCAATCCTTGACAGCAATATCGTCAAATCACTATGAAATTATTACAACCCATGAAGCATGTCGACAATGTGTATGGTTGAGGAACATGCCCATCATATCCAAGTATCATGCGCATTAATTTCAACAAAAGATAGTCCAACAATTTTGTATGAAAGCAATGTCGTTTATATTGCACAACTCAAATGATGTTATATCAAAGGTGACAGGACGAAACATATTTCTCCAAAATTCTTTTATACACATGAGTTTTAAAAGAATGACGACATCGATGTTCAACAAATTCGCTCAAGTAACAATGTGGTTGATTTATTTCCAAAAACACGGTCAATATCTACATTTAAGAAATTGGTTCACAAGATTGGAATGCGTCGACTTAAAAATTTTTAGTGATCAACATCAGGGGAGTAGCTGTACTCTTTTTCCTTCGTTTAAGTTTTATCTCACAAGGTTTTCCTAACAAGATTTTAATGAGGCGGCATTTATCTTTAATACTTCAAAATAACTGTATTTTTTTTCGTTCTTTTTTTTTTTTTTTTGTCCCATTGTGTTTTTATCAAATAAGGTTTTAAAGAGATGAATATTTTGTAATGTGTCATTCAAGGACAAGTGTTGTAAATGGTAAGTTTTTTACTAAATGGCAATTGTATCCCTACAACCCTAGAAATTATTATCATTGTATCTATAATTCTTCCCTATAAATATAGAGTTTTGATTCTCATTATAATACACACAACTCTACTGACTTTTATTTTATTTTCTCTTTTTCTCTATTTTCACAGGAGAAAGTAAATGTTCCCTTACATTCTCTTACCTATAAATGTTGATGGGGAAAGATGGCTTACAAAAAGTATTACTCAAAATAATTAGATCAAGTAAACCTATCTCAATAAACTCTCAAGAAAAATAAGAATACAAAGTGTTATAGATCTCAAACTCCCAAGAAAAAAATGTGGAATTTTCGAAGTGAAACAAATGATTGTGGCTTTTATACGGAACCCCTCGTTCAATATCAAAGAACAAAAATGTCTTCTCAGATTGCTCGAAACCATCAATGTTAGGAACAGAACAATGTTATACGACGCGATACGAAGTATTGATCACAATAATAAGAAACAAGAATTTAATTTGACAAAGGAATTGGAGATTTTATTCAATTATAATGGAAAGAGAAAATTACAACAATATTGTGTTCCTATACAATTCTAACTTTCAATAATAATTAACTCATAAAGAAGAGTTAACTATTTATAGGGGTACATATCAAATCAAAATAATAACTTTAAGTGTGGGAATCAGGTCAAAAAACGCGTGAAATAAACAAAACAAGGAAGCACTCAGACTGCGTAGGGCTTTTGCGCTAGGCTCGCGCTAAGCAAACACCAGCGGGGGATAGGTCTCTGCTAAAAACTTCGTCCCGTTGCTCGAGCATCCAACTAGCGTTGCAACACCCTTTTTCCTCCTTGTATCATATTTTGATCTCTTCATGGCCCAATACACTAAACCATGCAACCCGAGTTAGAATTTGAATTACAAACCCAACACTCAAGATTTGTCAAGAAAAAATAGTAAAAAGATATTAATGAAAGACAAAACATTCAAGAACATAGAGATATGATAAGGGTCAAAATATAATAATCTTGAATGGACGCTTAATAACTCAATTTTTAAATTATATTCTCCTCTACCAATGTAGAGAAGAAAGGGAAAGATGGGGAATTTTTCTGGATTTTTAGTTTGCCTTGTAAGTTCTAATGATATACGATTTTGTTTATTTGATATAGGCTCGAACTTTGATGAGCTTTATTGTGTGTAGAAATGGTGGTGTTATTCAAGATATTTGCAATGTTTTGAAAACTAGTTAAAACATACACTAGAAAAAATAAATGATGCTACGATCAGTTAGATTTTTTGAATTTTTTCTAATTTTTATTTTTCAATAATTGGATTTTTGTGGTATCTGTTACGCCTAAAAAACGAGGCTTAAAAAGAAGCCGACACCTCAAAATCGAGGCTCAAGCAAAAGCCCAAAAGGCCCACACTCTGCGTCATAAAAACTCGAATTGGAGTACGTCATAGGTAATGATGACGAAACGATGCCTCACCAAAAGTGCCATGTGTAAGCAGAAGCTCCATGGCCGAAGCGTAGGTAAGTAGCTAAAGCCCTAAAGCAAAGCATTATATAAGTGACTAAAGCCCTAAAACTGAAGTACTATGTAAGTGGTCGAAGCCCTGAAGTCGAAGCGTAAGCAAGTGGCTAATGCCCTGAGCCGAAACACTATCTAAGTGGTTGAAGCATTGAAAGTGAAGATTATATAAGAAATCAAAGAAGAAGCCGAAACTCTCTATCCCGAAGCCCTCGCTTCAATCCGAAACTCCCTTTGGTTGAAGCTATTGCTCCAGTCTAAGCTCCCTTTGGCTTAAGTCCTTGCTATCTTTTAGAGGATTTGCAGACAACTCTTTACACTTCAAACCATACTCTATCTTCTCTCTTGCTTATTTTCAATTTGGTTGGGTTGCTTGTGATTGTTAGTTGAATATACAATTATCGTTGATCATATTGTCGATACTCGAATATTTTTGTCTCCTGTCATAGAACATCTCTCAATGTCCATAAACATCATCATTCTCCGTCCATATCTCTGGTTAAAATGTGTTGAAATTTGCTTGTGTGGACATGAATGGACCGACATATGTTGTCCACGTGACCATTACCAAAAAGGGGTTCAATGGTATCTTTATTAAATATTGAAAAATGAATTCATCCTTTTATTAGATGAAATAGCTCGCTCATATTTGCCTGTATTAGCTACAACATTTTTTCAATTACGTTTTATTTCAGGCTAGGGTTGGGATCATTATTAAGAAAAGAGAATTCAAAAGTATGTTACTTATTATAATTTGTTAAAGTTCTTTTGGAATATTAATTTATGTGTAGCTTCAACAACTGATTTATTGTTTTATAGTTTCAACAATAATTACTTGTTATAATTTGTTAAAATTATTAAATTGACTTGTGATATTGAGCCATGTTTGTCCGTGGTTCTTTAAAACTCTTTTTTTTTTTTTTTTATTTATACTCATTTTCAATCACATATTTACACGATTAAAATATTTTACAGATAAATCTAAAAAAAATTCTTATTTTTTAACCACGCATTCCCAAAAATTCACTATTCAATAAAATATTTTTCTAAAAGAATAGCCACCAAACAGGGGCTGAATGATGTAGTTTCATTAATCTTCTAATTGAAATAGTGGGAAACCAATGAAATAGAGAAAAAATAATTCACGTAGTCGACTTTAAATTTATATTAGAAAAATAAAATATAGTTTTTTGTTTTGACATTTTTTTCTGTCACACATTTTTAAAAATTAGAAAA